GAATACCGGCTCTCCCCAGATATCACCCGAACAATCCATTGATAAGACAAATCTGAGTTTATGGAAGCATGGGACAACACTACCTTGACAGTCCCTTGGGAGCAGTGGTCCCTGGAGCTAGCTCCTATCAGCCTGAGAAGGTTGATTCTGAGCATCTCTTCCCAATTTCATGTTCAGTGATATCACCTTGGCAGCTTGAAGTCAGCCATAGTAGGAATATTTATACCACAGAAATCATCAAATTTCACAAATCAGGGATTTTTTCCCCTAGAAAGCCAGTTTACCTTAGTAGCATCTTGGGGTATGGGAGCAAAGTTGAGATAGTTAGGAGATGTTGAAGTTTAAGGCAAGTCTTTTAATGCAGAGGCTTGATTAGGGTTGGGGAAGGATCATACTATAAAAGGTTAGGATTTGTGGGCACAACAAGGAGAGGGTTTTGAAGCAAGGGTTTCCAAGAGTCTTGGAGAATAAACAGTCATTTCATACTATCTACTGAAAAGTCAAACAGTTTGATGTTAATTAAAATGAGTTTTTCACTAAGTTCCTGAGACAATGAAATTACTTGCAACTTTTATCTTTCTGAGCAAGAGTTTCCTGGAATAATAAAGTCATGTTGATGAAGATAGTGGAATAGTAAAGTCATATTAATGTACACAGTAAGCTATGTGGGTGTGGATGGTTTCGGTTCTCACATATAATGCCTGAGCCTTCAAATTATGAGAATTAAGGATATGTTTCCATGGAATTGTCACAGCAAAAAAAATAAATAAAGCTCATAGGAAATGTTCCCTTGAAATCACTCTTCATTTTCAACTTTAACAAAAAGCAAAAAAAAAATTTTTTTCTGACACTACATCCTAATGGTATGTATAGGTCTTATCTTGACCAAATATTTAAATAGCTTTTACTGCTATTTCACTGTTGTCAAGTGATAAGAATTTAAATATATTGCATTTGTATACTCCCAGAACTAAATACATCATCTCTAAGAAATTTCTGTGTCTTTAAAAATACAACTAATGAACAACTTTATACTTCCAATCATTTGCCTCTACAAGAAAACAAGTAGACGACTTAGAGTATTTAACATCTGAAATAGATTTTTTTATGTCTCTTTGTGATAATTTCAACCACTAAATACCATTTGTATTATTTCTTTCTTGTCTTTAGTAGAATGATAAGGTCAGAAGTCTGTAAGGGTTTGGAAATGAATTAATTGAGAGAAGAAAGAAGACATTTTTTAAAATTTGACTGATAAAAGAGAATGTTTAAATCACACAGTTGGAAGGCATCACGAATCTTCCCAATTCAACCCTTCCTCTAGCCTATTGTGAATATTTCTAATGGGGAATAAGGACAGTATAACATTTCTCTTTGTGGCATATTTTATTATTCTTAAAATATTCTCCATATTGAGCTAAAATCTTTTCTCTTACTTTGTTCCCTCCTTCCTTCATTCTTCCTTCTGAAAACATACAGAGTAAATCTACTCCCTATTCATTTTAACATATTGGAGATACTACCGTGACAACTGGGTTTTGCTTTTTGTTGTTTTTTTTTTTCCCCTGAGATAAGCAGCCTGAGTGTATTCACCCATTCTCCTATTTCAGAGGTGCTCAGTATGTGGACTGGTACTGGTCTGTGACTGTTTCTTGGCCACTGGGAACCATATGTTACAGGTCCACAACAAGATATGGAGCTGCTTCCCTCACTGAAAAAATCTTGCTATGAAAAAGTCAAGCTAGCTGAGTTAAACAGTGTGTTGAGTGATAGAGTTGCCTTACCTTATGGCACAAGCTTTTTTATCTTGTCGCAGACTGACAGTAAGCCATTAAACCAACCAGTTTGATAGCACTTGCTCCACATGACATGATTTCTTGATCTGTTCTAATCACTCTTCACTAGACCAGCCTCTGCAATGCAACCAGCATTTCCAGAGAAAGTCTGCTAAAAATATAGTGGCAACATTACATCCTTGTATCTGGACACTGTTTTTCTTAGTGTAGCCTAATAGTTATTTTAATGACTTTTTAATCAAGTACAGAACCTAGTCAGAATTATACATTTATCCCCTTTCAAATTCTTCTTGCTACTTATAGTCCATCCTTCCAAAGTGGCTACCTACTAGCTATTCTATCCAATTTCGTGTGGTTTGGAAATATAGACTATACAGCTATTGCTGGGTTAAAAAACAACAACAACAACAAAACTCAGTCACTTTAAACAACCACTTTCTTTTTTCAATTTCTTATGAGTCTGTGGTTCAGCTGGTCAGTTATCGTGACGGTGGCCTGTTTCTTCTGACCTTGACTGGGCTTGCTCAAGCATCTGCTGCCTTCAGCTAGTGGTTGCTGGAGGCTGGCTGGTCTGGGATGGCCTAAGCTGAAACAACTCAGCTCTCCTCCACAGGATTTGTATCCTCCAGTAGACTAGTTTGAGCTTGTTCTCATGGCGGTGACAGGATTCCAAGAGAGATAGGAAGCACACAAGACCTCTGTACGGATCAGCCCCACCCCTGGCATAGGGTAGAGCAGAGAAAGATGGAAAATGGACCTGGAGGAGGACAAAGATAAAATAACTATCACAATGCCCATGTGTTCTTCCAAATTCTTTATAAAAAATTTGAAAATAGCACTGACAAATACTTTTCATGGAAGATCTTAATAGACCTTTTTACAGATGGATCGAGTGTTTTGGAATATGTTATCTAACCAGCCATGACTGTACCAATAGGAGCTTTCATCCACCCACGTTTTTCCCTCATGTTAATAAGGGTTCAGTGAAAAATTTTGTCAGATTTGATGCTGCAATTAAGATGTCATCTGTAGTTTTCTGAACATAAACAGTCACTGCATTATTTATAATAGCAAAATATTGGAAAGAGTGCAGAATGAATAACTTATTGTAATCCATAAATTATTTCATGTGGTTTTTAAATTTCAAATAATTGATGAGATAAGAACATGCTCACAATTTTAGTGACAAAAATGTAAGATACATAGTGAGACATAAACAAAATTAGAGGCATAATACTTTATATCTAAAAATAAATATTTTGAAATACTAGAAAGAAATGCAACAAAAAATAAAATTATCATCTTTGGATGGCAAGATTATAGTGACTTTTATTTTCAACTTAAACATTTAGATATTTTCCAGATTTCCTACAACAGACATATGTAACATCATCATCAGAAAAAAATAAACATGCATTTAAGTTTTTCCCATTTTGAAATTTTCCTGGAAATTAAAATCAAGCTCACATTTCTCTCTATTTTGAAAATTGTGCCTTTGTCCATTGCCAGTCAGATATTCTAAGAAATTGTAATGAACAATTACAATTGGGAGGTAGATTTGAATCTGTTTCAAAAGCATAGCAGCTGGATGTTAATAACTATTTCATCAACATTTTCATCTTAAAAATATTTCGTGCAGGGCAGGCCCGGTGGGGTAGTGGTTGAATTCACGTGCTCTGCTTAGATCTCAAACATTGATGCCTTGTTGGTTATGTGAGTTTGTGGCTGAGGAACCTATCATGTAGCTACATCTCTTTTGGCACTGATCATTTCTTTATAGACTTTAAATTCTTACTAACACTAAAAATCATATGTCACAAGGTGACATGTAAACAATCTGGAATGCTTAAATGGATAGTTTAGATGCTAGAAGAATGCCTCTGGGGTGGCCCTTTTCCTGCAAGGGGGTAGAATGTGAAAGTGAGTACATCATCTACCAGACACAACATCCACCAGAGGCATTGGAGTAGAGTAAAGATGGCCACAAATTCTTTGATTTTCCTCACACTGAGAAGTGGAGGCTGTATCCCTCCTCTTAAATCTAAGTGGATTCTGTCACTGCTTGACCAATAGAGTAGGACTGAAGCAACATTGTGCCAGTTTCCAGGTTCCAGCCTTAAGCAACTGGCAATTTCTACTTCCTGTCTCTTGGAACACTCACTCTTGGAAGCTGCCAGGCTGTGAGAAGCCCAAGCGACATGGAGAGGCCATGCCTGTGTGCTCCAGTTGACAGCCCCAGCTGAGTTCAGCCCTCCATGGTCATCAACTGCAGCCATGTGAATGAGCCATCTTGGACAGTCAGCCTGGTCACATCTTTAGATGACTTCAACCTCAGCCACAGTTTAATTATATGACAGACCTCAAGGAAGATCATCCACAGAACCATGAGACATAATAATAAATTGTTGTTTTAAGACACTAAGTTTGGGGATGGTTTGTTACTTATTAACCAAAAAATTGTAACATTAGCCATTGTTAGCTGGTACTATTGTACTTGAAATAAAATTTGAAAATAGTTATAGAAAATAGATGGTGATATAAGATCTCTGTGGAGCTATCTTTCGAACTGGAAAGTAGAAATAGTGAGTAGAGCTTACTGATCTTACACCTTTCCGAGTCACGTACAGACATAGTGAATCAAAGAAACCCAGAAGAAATAAAAAGAAAGCTCAAGGTAGCACTTCGTGTTTAGGGTTGATGAGATACCACTTTGTGTAAGGCACTGTACAGGTTACCACAACACTGGGGAATATGAATTATTATCATTCTCATTGATTTTCTTTTTCTCTGTCCTTCCTCCTTCCCTTTCTTCCCTCTGCCTCCAATTTCCAAGTTGTTTTCACTCCTCTCCACTCCACTGCACTTCAGCAGGAGCCTCTTTCATCTCTGTAAATTCCCCATGCTCTTTACAGTACATGAAATACAAAAGGATGCTGCTCAAGCAGGTATCCATTTGGAGAAGTCGGGTGAGCAATCACTAAGGTGAAAGGGTAAATCCTGGCAGGATTTTATCCCCAGAAGCCCCCATGTGCTACCTTTGCTCTTTGGTGTGATCAGAAATGATCAAGCACAGTTGGCCTCTTCCTTAGGAAGTATTTTTTCAAAGCAATGACAACAAAAAATTAGATGAATAAACCTTTGTTTTACTCAAGGACAAAGTTCAAGTATTTTCCGGAGTGTTTTACAACTCTGTTTTACTTTCAGGTATTCCAAAGTTGATTACATCTGATATGGTTAAAGAAGGTGCTGCTGTAATTGACGTGGGTATCAACTATGTCCACGACCCAGTGACAGGAAAGACAAAATTAGTTGGAGATGTGGACTTTGAAGGTAATAAACTTTATCTCTTGATAAGTAAAGAAAAGGAAAGATTCTGCTTTGCATGTTTTGATAGTAGAAGAAGAAACTTTCTATCTGTTGGGACATTGTTAAGTTATTAATCATTACACCTCTTTCCTCTGAGGGAAAAGAGTTTAGTTGTACTAACATATTTCTTCCCTTCCTTCTTTCTGCCTGCCTGCCTGCCCACCTGGCCTTCCTTCTTTCTAGCCTTCCTTTCCTTCTTCTCTCCTTTCTTGGGAGGAAAATAGAATCGCACCATTAATATTTAGTTTTAAGATTAAATTCCTTGTAGTGCCGTTTTTTAGTGAAAGAATTCAGCTGGCCTTTTATAGCAGGCATTATTTTGATTTTTTGGAGTGTGTCTCTATACTTCGCCGTCCATGCTGTATACTCAGCCTTTCACTCTTAGAGCCAGAAGGCATCTTCAGATGCGGGTGCTAACCCTAACTGCATTTCAGATCTAGACAGTTATCTGGGTCATTTAAGTCAATATTCTTTACTTGTGTTTTAAAGAAGATGAGGAAGAGGAGCTAGGCTAGCATTTCTATGTCCAACGAAGGAGATAAGGCAGCCAATGTGTCATAAGGCAGCCAATGTGTCATAATGAAAAAACAATCCTAACCCAATGCCTTATCTCTACAGATGAGGAAGCTGAGCCCTAAGACAGACATGTTTTTATATGCCTGACCGCTAATCCAGTTTTACTTCCAGTATCTTTGTCAGACTGCATTCAGGGTTCAGTGTAGTCTAGGAATCCTAGATGTCTAATAAGACATGAATGTAGTAAAGTAAGTGGAGACATTTTCATATTAGAAATATTTTTTATATTAGATTGATCATTCTGGCCAAAAAGAGCAGAGCCATGTGAAGAAGAAGAGCCATGCAGACACTCAGCAGTGTCTAGGGTATTGGCGCCACAGGTAAGATTCCAGTGTGCACCAAGGACAGGATCCAGGTAGGCAATCTGAGCCTGGTGCTAAAAAGAAAAGAAAAAAAGGAAAACCACAGGACAGAAATATGCAATAATACACTCTGGGGACAGAATGGTGAATAAGAGCAAAGTACAGAGGGACCTTTTTTTTCTTTTTTAAAGATTTTATTTTTTTCCTTTTTCTCCCCAAAGCCCCCCAGTACATAGTTGTATATTCTTTCATTGTGGGTCCTTCTAGTTGTGGCATGTGGGATGCTGCCTCAGCGTGGTTTGATGAGCAGTGCCATGTCCACGCCCAGGATTCGAACCAACGAAACACTGGGCCGCCTGCAGCGGAGCACGCGAACTTAACCACTCAGCCACGGGGCCAGCCCCCAGAGGGACCTTATCCGAGAGCATACTCCTGCCCTCATAGGCTGTCATTCACAGGGTCCCTGCCAGGGATGGAGCTTCTAGTCTTACAGGGGTGGCTCTCCAAGTGAACGTGGTCGTCTGTCTGTATATATGTGTGTGTTATGTCTGTCTACACACTGAACTCTTCTAGGAAATGACCTCATTTCTTTATTTCATTTTTCGTGTTCAATCACCAATGTCAGATGTCAATAATTTATTTGAATTTCTCAACTTGAAAGAGTTAAGGATACATTTCATTTTACAACTTGACCTTGTTTCTTATTTTTTCACTGTCATTCTGCCTCTTGATAACATTATAGTTACCATGTATTTATTGCAAAATCACCACCCACTTATGATGCACCCAAATGGCACAGACAGCACATGATAACTGGCTCAAGGCAAGAAAAGCAGGGATGTTTGCACTTCACAACCTTGACTGTCCTTGTGGGGCCAGCTTACCCAGTAGTTCACTGCATCTTATAAGATCCTTCTCTCATAGTTCATTGGTGTCAGATTATTTCCATGCCTTCTTTTTGTTTTTTTTTTTTTTTGAGGAAGATTAGCCCTGAGCTAACATCTGCCACCAATCCTCGTCTTTTTGCTGAGGAAGCCTGGCCTTGAGCTCACATCCGTGCCCATCTTCCTCTACTTTATATGTGGGATGCCTACCACAGCATGGCTTGTCATGCCGTGCCATGTCCACACCCGGGATCCAAACTGGGGAACCCTGGGCTGCGGAAGCGGAACGTGTGCACTTAACCGCTGCGCCACTGGCTGGCCCCTCCATGCATTTTTATGTTTAGCTAAGAATGGTTTTTACTCATGAGGGTATTCTGAATATGTAAAAAAATGAGCCTTTTTAAGTGGGTGCTTATGCTTAGCTACACATAGATACGCACTTCAGTTTGCATACCACTCTGCTTGGTCGAATCTTAAATTAAATTGCAGTTATGTGCATCTAAGTATATAATGAAATAAAAAAGGAAATGACAGAGAAACAAAGGTATAAGATGAACAGGAAAGAGAATTAGGCTGGGAGACTGAAGAGGTGCTTTTAGATCTAGTATAGTAACCTGATAACTTTGCAGTCTCTCTGGCCATCAGTGTTATTAGTTAAATGATAGCAATGACAGCAGTGGCTCCTTCCAGCTCTAGTGCTTGGTGCATCTTGGACATTCAACTGAGTGCTACCAAATGATTGTGTAAAACCATGGAAACTTTTGGAAGGTCAGGTTTCTCTGATCCTGCCATGAAGTATGCCTATATGATTGATAATATCACTCTTACTACCCTGCTGGTTCATGGAGCCAGAGCCCTAAGGAAGGTCTGGACTTGGAAAAGAAGGCCTTGCCAGCGAGGCCATGACTCAGCCACCCAGAGGAGCAGGCAAGTGATAGGTTTTGACATGTTGCTCTTCAGGTTGTTCATCAGGACTTAACTTGAGGTGAGGGATGATCCCTCAGCTGAGAGGGAGGAATTTTAACTTGGGTTATGCCACAAAACTTATAGGTAGCGTTTGGCTGCAGATTGCCACAGGGAAAGTGTGGCTGCTTTGCGAGTATCGGTGGAAGTTTCACTATAACCATAGCCAAGACAAACAAAACAGATGAAGGTAAAGTCAAATGGTGAAGTAAATTGTCCCTGTAGAAATGTTTGGCGCACTAATAAAGGAAACAGGACTACCTATTTCCAGTAGATTACTTTTATGAGAATGATTTGTAAAGAATCATTTCATCAATGACCCCATTTGGGCCATTTCAGAAATGTGTAAATCATTGCAAATTCGCTGATTTGTAAAACCAAGAGTTATTTTATCTATTTTCTTTCTAAGAAAAGACAAATGCATACTTGTGATCTTCTTCATTGTGAGATGTTTTGGCTTCGGTTTTGAATCAGGCTCCTCTATAAGAAGAGTGATATTTTATATCAAATACACCATAAGGGTTGCATCACCACTTATTATGGTTCTTAACAAAAGGAGACATAAAAACTCCCTAAATATTTCTTTTTGACTTTAATGTCAGGTTTTTGCTTTGGTTTAGATATAATTTCCTCCAGAGCACAGCTTCCTTCATCTACGAGGGTTTCTTGCTCTCATTTTTGCCTCTGCTCCATTCTCTTCTTCCTTCTTCCTCCTCTCCTGAGCCCAGAGTAGAATAGAATAGCCCTTCCTGAGCTGGTGGCATTGTGTTGTGGTCAGGACTAGAGAGAAATAATTGTTGTCCCTCCATCACTCCTCCAATAATTTCCTGCCACCTCAGTCACAAAATTGCCAATATTCTTAGAGAGAGAGCTGGCAAGTCTAGTAGAAAATTACATTGAGAGTAAGGAAGGTATAAGAGGCTTTCTTACATGGGGATATCCTCTTTTCAGGTCATTTGGTATTGTTCTTCATTTAGTAATAATAGTAGCTAGTGTTTGAGAAGTACTTACAATGTGCTAGGTACTATTCTCAGCCTTTTACGTAACTTATCCCTTTAATTCTTACAACAACCCTATAAGGTAGATATTGCTATTATCCCTCATTTACAGAGGCACACAGAGCCTGGGCATCTTGTCTGAGATGACATAGTAATAGGGCCCTGTGGGTCCACAGCCAGGCGCTTGGAATTTCTACCCTCTGTTGTCCCCACTATCTTGTACTTCACTTTGCTAATATTTTGCTTTGGGGACATGAAGTTACTTCTTTTATTCCGCTTCTCCCCCAGGAGATGTATAGTAGCAGATTTTAAAAGTGTCTGGACAACAGTATTGGCGTACAGCAGCCCTCACTTTGCATGGTTCTGATATGTACAGATTTCAGTTACCATGGTCTGGCTGAATAACAGCAGTCCCCCAGTGAAGCGGTTTGAATTTCAGTTAGCATGGCGTATTAACTGTATTTTCATAAAGTGCAGACTCTTCTGCTAGCTCTTCAGTCCACAAATCATTATGTAAATAAATGTGCATCGTGATCTGTGATCAATCCCATCACTTCTTTCAAAATCTCTTAGTGATTGGTCATAGCACGTTTGCTGTTCAGTTCGGACAGCAAAGTGTGTAATTCTGTTGACTCCTTGTCTCCCAGTGATAAACCACATATTTTACAAAAATAGATCTCAGAAAGAAGGAATTGCCGGCAAATAAATGAAAAGTGATAATACTGAAAGTGAAATTTGAAATAGCTGGCCATGGGATGTTGATGACGCCACCGTTTGCCACTTGAGAGACTCTAGGTATACAGCCAGAGGAACTTAGTGAAGCAAACTTAGCGACAAAAATGAGGAAAATGGTTGTGACTAAAAGGATGGCAGTGTCTCAGAGGAAGTGACATGACATAAAACTTCACATTAAAGGAACTCTCAGAAAAATTTCCCGACCTTGAAAGGGCAAAGACAAAATGTTGGAAGCCGATCCAAACTTAGAAAGGAATCTGACAATTCACCAAGGCGTAGAAAAGATGCTGGCTCCAGATCATAAAGAATATGACCAGAAGAAAAGCACCGTTCAAACTACTCTTGCTAAGACCTTTACATAGAAATAAAACACTAATTCTCAATGTTTCTAATGTTTTAAATTACGGTGTACTAAATAAATATTAGTTTTTCTATTATTTTCAATTTCCTACATATTTATAAACCAGAGTAAGAGAGTTTTAAATGTTTTGACATTAAAACACTAA